GAGCCCCCCCGGCGGTGCCCCAGCTGTTCTGTCCCAGGAGTCCAGATTCAGCCGCTGTTGAAACTGATCAGGGGCTGATTCCAGGAAGCCCGGGGCAGAGCAGCTCTGCCTCGGGCTTCCAAGAGTCAGCTGCTGGTCAGTTTCAGCAGTGGCTGAATCAGGGACAGCTGGGGTGCTGCCAGGTTGGGTCCCACAGCCCCGAGGGGCAGTGCTATGGGACCTACCTGGCAGCGCCCCAGCTGCTCTGCCCTAGGCAACCCCGATTCAGCCGCTGGTCAGTTTTTAGCAGTGGCTGAATCGGGAAACCTGGGGGCAGAGCAGCTCCAATGGTCCGGCTGCCCGGAGCACTTCCGGGTTCCTGATGGTGCCGGACCATCAGGAGTACTGGACCATCAGATGCCAGACCATCGGAATTTTACTGTATTTTGGTATGTCCTGGGCTGTGTATCACTCACAATAAGTGTTATATAAAAATGTCTGTTTAGACACCAGCAAATGATGGGCTTCCGGGTCTCACACTACTGATCAAATCTAGTTACTCCACCAGTTGCGCACTACCCAGAAAATGCTCCAGCTATTGAAGCTGTAACAAGCTTATACAGAATTTTGGAATTGTGGACACTTTATATTCTTTGCCATTTTAACTTTTAGATAGGTGATTATGTATACAGTTACCAACAGCTGCTATAGTCCACTGATGAGTACCAGTATTCTTCCAAAGCTGGTTTACAATAATTTTAAATTCAGTTGAAAGCTGTGAATTATCAAGACATATCAGATATATTTTGTCAGTTAACTGCTTCCAAATGTAAGACAGAACACAGAGGGAAAAACAATAAATTTATTTGAGGACAGAATATATTTTATTAGAAAGAGTAACAAAGTGCTTGCCACAAGACAAATATCTCCAGGAAACAACATTTCCACTCAGACAATTTCAGTATGTCAATTTTCAGTGCAAATGAGGTTTCATCAGCTTGCTATATGTACAGTTTCCTCACTGTACATATTAATTCAAATACAGGCTCTTTTGGGGACACAGTAAGAGTTCTACAGAAATCTTATTATATGCCCCAAAGACCAATAAGGATTACAGAGTTCATTATTTGATGTGCATTTGGGTGATGTTATTCTTTTATATGATCAGCATATACAAACATAAGTATGTGTAATCAGAACTGGAGAGAGAAAATGACAGTCACATGTATTATTGTTAATAATTTTCAGATTGGATACAAGGAATATAGTCTCAAACAAAATTTACATTCATCCTTTATTTCTGGAGTAGGATTCTATTCTGAATTCTTTACATACTCAAAACTCCTAAGGATTTCAAACTGTAGCTTCAGGGTAGGGAAGAGAAGCAAGGCAAAAGCTGCTCATATTTTCTTGCAGTACTGTACTTGACAATTTTATAATGCAATTTCTTTTGATACACATCTTTGTTCAGTTATGTTGCTCATTTAAAACCATTTTCAATATAATGGACTATTCTATTGAATAGTTCACCTTCAAAAATAAAAAACCCACCCAAACAATAAAACAAAACCAAAAAAACATGAAAGGGACATGATGTAATGCATAGATATTAAAGGCAGATGATCCTGTATACGATCCTTTTAAGTGACTGTCACAGTCTATAAGTAACGAAATAGGGGACAATACTGAAACGTTGCGGGAGGGGGGGAAAAAGGTGTCCTAACGATAGGTTGACTTTTTCAAAAGAGATTTGTCTGTCTCCATCTATTTCATAAAGTTTCAGTAATAAATAGAGGGAAATTGGTTTTTTTAGGGTCATAAATATGCAGAATCTTCAAAAGAGGAGAGACATCACTGACAAAACACTTGATTTTAGTTCAAAAGAAAAGAACCACTTTTTTGTCAGTGTGTTTAATGACATGTGTGGGAAGGAGAGCTGCTGGGATGATTATATGCCTACCGTTTGTGATCATTACTATGCACAGACAACATATTCTATGCAGGTAGCTACATTATTTTCCCTATTTCATTTCTGGCCTGTGACCAAGTAGCCCCACTTCTGGCCAGCTATTCTGTAAGTTCCAAAACAAGAGAAGGTTTCCTTTACTTCAGGAAATCAGGGAATTTTGCATAACAACATGTAGTCTGTGCACACCCTGTTTCCTATGAGACATTGACCTTTTCCCTACCCATGCAAAAGGGTTCACATTAAAGGCTCATAACTTGCACAGGAGGAAAAAGGCATGACGTAAAAAATAATCCATTTTTATAATACAGCCTACACACACACACAAAATCACTACTACATAACACACACACACACACACACACACACACACACACAATACACAAACATACAGGGTATACTATATTATTTTTAAAGGATTTTAAAACGTGTTTCCCCTGAGGCACCCGCCATTAAATTCAAATTATATTTCTACTTAGCTTTTGGAAATCCAGATTATGATTAATGTATGAGCAAAGCATATCTATGAACAGTTTATGAATGTACATTATTCCCATGTCACCAGTGTCATTATTTTACACATGTACACACGGATACATTCTTTGACATGGTTCCCGGTTGACACAAACGTACAGCTGAGCTTAACGTTTCACATGCAAATAGTCTCATGAATGCAGTGGGACTACTTACAGAGGCAAACACATGGATAATGTTTGTAGGATTGGGGCCTTTGTGCTTAAATCCACAAATAATAATTGATTTAAAAGACTGTAAAAGCTTACAAGGAATAGCTCCTTAGGCCCTGCACCTAGATCAATGTGTGTAGGGCATAGACTCCAATAAACTCCAAGTGGACACAAGAATCTTCCTAACGACCCAATTAACCCAAGGACTGGGGCCATAGGGATTGTTTTCAATGACTTCAATTGTCTTTGGATGAAGCCCAGTTTGTAAGTAAGACTACTTATGATTAAGATTTGTCAACCCACACATTTGCAGAAACAAAAAGTACAACAGCACATCCCAAATCGTAAATTGCTTTCTTTAAACAAATGTAATAATGAAAAAAGGCATGCGGTCAGAATCAGTTCTCTATATATAATAGAGTGATTTGGGAGGGTGCTAAACAGGTAGTCAGCCTATTTAGTGAAGATTTTCTCTGTCTTTTCCTCTGCTCAGCACTTTTCAGGATTGGATCCTACATTACCAAAGTGGATTTTACATGTTTATTTTAAACCTCTATATAATATTTTATTATTTGATATTTTAGCTTACCACACACATCTCTAGATGTTAGATTTCCCAATCATACACACAAAAATCCTGAGAGACTGCAGTTGAAATCTCTCTATCTTTCTATACTTACCTTACTTGCATAATTTCTCATATCTTACATTAGGGGCTGGGCCTGATGTGCTCATATAACCAAAGCTTGCAACTAAGTTAGGATTGGGCCCAATCTTTAGCAAACCTTATCCAAGTTGACAGATACACACTGAATCCTAGGAATGCAACCCATCTTGCAACCCAAACTTGTCCTATAGAGTGACAGTAATCAGTATTATAACAAACTTGCTAGGTGGGGGATTTATATTTATTTGCAAAGTCCTCAAATTATTTTTCTCCCTAAGAGAACTCTTCTGATATTTATAAAAGGTATTAATGACCACAGCTAAGTACACATGGCCTATGTCTGGTCTACGTTAGAAACTTTTGCCATTATATTAATGTCAGCTATGGGTATTATTTTTAACCCTGACAATATTATATTGGCAAAAGCCTGAGGGTAGATACAGTTATACTGATAACATACTTCTTCTCCAGTATAAGCTATGCCTACTGGAGGAGGATTTTCTGGTATAGTTATGTTGGCACAGATAGACAAACCTTTTCTAATGTAGGCCTGGCGTTACAGTAACAAACCAATATGCATGAGCATAAAAGTGCAAGCCAATGGAGGAACACATTTTATTTAGCTAGTTAACAGATTTTAGGTTCAAGCTTTCAGAAAAGCTTACGGAGAACAATGTAAAAACAACAGAACACAAAACTCATGTTTATGTGTATTCTTCCAAATAAAGAGAAAATTTCCATTACACAAGAAAGTAGTTTCAAAATAACAGCCACATCACAGAAGAGAGGCTGATCCCATTCAGATGGAGATGTTGCTATACCACATTTAATAAAAAAGCAACCTAGGACTTAGCCCTGAAGGTTGCAGTGGCTCATGTACCCTCACATAGGGCTTGTCCACACACAGAGTTAGTATCTGGCATGCTGGTGTGCTGCAGATTCACATCCTGGCTTGCCACATACTAAATTACCGAGTAGACAAGCTCTTCAAAACAGTAAGTTACTTTGGACAGTACCATTATTAAGAAGATATCGTTTTCATTCCCTCTGGAGATGTGGTAGCACTGATGACTTCCTTTAAAATGCATACATAATTTTAGTCTGAATGTAAAAACCTAACAAACTAATGTGTAGCACAATTTGGAACATTGCAGCTTTTAAAATGCTACACGTGTTTGCTTAAACACAGACATCCACTGAAAGGTGACATGGCTGTAATATGTTATTCAGCAGACCAATTCACCACAGTCTACTGTTGCACGTAAATAATGACAAGGCACAGAACAGCAACTAGTCCAAGAGCTTGTAAGCCAAGGAACCAAAGCATAACCCAGAAGAATATGATTATTACAGGTTCCACAATCCGTTCTCCAAAATACATCCTTGTGAAGCCTATGTTGATAAGGCTTTTGTTAAGTTCACCAAAGAGAGTCCCCATCTTTTTATAGTCATCTACAACAGGCTCTGGAGTGCCGTTTCTTTGTTCTTGCTGGACCTGCAGACAGAAAACAAAAGCAGGAAATATTTTGACATAGATAATATATGATACTGTTGTTGCTGTCTGTCTTTCAATTTACAAAAAAAAATCTCATCTGTTTCTACTTCCAAGAATGAGACAAAAATACATCCAAAATGGAAAACATTAAATATAGAAGCTGATACGAGTCACATATTTGAACACAGAAAATAGTGAATACAGTGGATTTGTTGACAACTCATTTTCAGTACAATTTCAGAACCACTGAAATGACATAAATAAACTCTACTAGCAGATTAGAAACCATTAAGCATTTTGCAAAAAACTAAACAAAACTGAAGGAATTATTATTATTGAAAGATGGCCCAGGGAAGGCAATGTGCTATGCTAGTGACAGGGAAGGCTGAAATTCATCCTAGGGTGAAGATCTGGTACAAGAAGTTGTGGAAACCACCCAGGATATCCCCAGGTAAGGGAGGCAGCAGAAGGGGTTGAGGAAAATCACTGGTGAAGCAGCAATATTAGGGAGCCTTTGCATTATTAAAAATTATTATTGAAAGATGGCCCAGGGAAGGCAATGTGCTATGCTAGTGACAGGGAAGGCTGAAATTCATCCTAGGGTGAAGATCTGGTACAAGAAGTTGTGGAAACCACCCAGGATATCCCCAGGTAAGGGAGGCAGCAGAAGGGGTTGAGGAAAATCACTGGTGAAGCAGCAATATTAGGGAGCCTTTGCATTATTAAAAG